CATCGACCACCCTATGCGCTGCAAACTGAGCTTCATGGCACTGATGGGCCCCGAGACCTGCTTCCAGTTGTCGGGCCCAGGTCCCAGGAAAACGGACTCCCAAGATGTTCGGAGCTCAGGCCAGGACAGGGTAAACGAGAAAGCGCGCATATGGGTCCCCCAGAGCTCCTTGGCGTACCTCAGGATGGGCGCAATGGGCCCGTAGTACGTAGGGTCTTTATCCAGGATAACTGCTGAAGTGAGCGAGCGGGACCCAGCCTTGGGCCTGATACAGCGACCGTACGCACGCCGAACACACCCCCATTCAGCATCAGAGACCCCGTGAACCTCACTTCCATAATAGTACCCAGGCAGAGGGCCTGTGATAAACAGCTTCCTGGAGTGCCTTCCTAAAGCCTGTCGTATCTTCTGCAGTCGTTTGGTCTTGTGCTTGAGCGTGAGCATACGCACCCGAAACACCTTGGACCGAGTAGGGGCCCTCCTAGGCCTGCCCGAAGTGTGATCGATCCCAAGGTTAGCTGCAGAAGAAACAACTCGCTTGCCAGCCAGAGCTCCCAGTCGCTTGCGCAGCTCAACCGCAACATGGCGATGGGAGGCCACAAGGTTGGCCTTGTCATGCGAAATACTGCCACCTATGTCGTCCACGATGGCATCGTGTAATGAAACAGCCGCCTCTGACAGGTCGTATACAACTTCCGAGGTAGTTCCGACTGTCGACAGTCCATAGTCATCGATGTATACGTCGAGCGAAACTGTACGTGGGATGCCTGCCGTGTCGAGGGGGCCTATGACGAAAATCCTCACCATCGTCGTGGCGAAGGGACAGCCTGCGACGATACCATGCTGTACATAGAAAGGGCCTCGCAGAAGCTGGCCCATGGTGATGAAGCGAGCATTGCTATACATGGTGATCACCAATCGCGCGACGGTCATGTCAAAGCCATACTGGGCACACCTGTGGAGCAAGAGGTCGAGGTTAATCGATTCAAAACACTTGACCAGGTCCCAGAGTAAAATGGCAGAAACCTTGCCGTCACGAACACCAACCTCTCCCTTCACAGACTGCCGCCAGACCACATCGGTGGAAGAGGTAAACTTGCCAGCAGCAAAAAAGGGGCGACGATTGTTCTCCTCCCATCGCGTGGCGTATCCTCTCCTCCCCTTGCCCCACAATCGATAAATGGAGGAGAAAAGGCCGATGGGTCGGAAGCCCCCAGCCTGCTTGCCGATGAGAGACATTATAGTGATCGCAGCCTGCTTCGGGATGAGGCTGCTCACTTCCATGGCAGTGTAGATGACTGAGAGGAGGTCGAGCGAGGCATCCGACAACGACGCGAAGTGGCGCATGTGAAAGCCGTCGACCGAGGTAGCCGTCATTCTGGAAAACTTGCGACTACAAGCCCTGAGATCATCTGGAGCCAGCCGAGGTAGGGAGGGTTGAGGCTGAAAGGTGTCCGATTGAGGCCGAGGTTGCGGGTGAGCGTGCCACAGTTGCTCATATTGCTTAGCTTGTGCATCGAGGAGAGCCTGGGGGTCAGCCACGACGACACCATTAGATAGCAATGCCGTAGTCGGGACCCACGGAGTGAAACCTTGAACGACCGAGTGCGCACGCTTAGCACCTGCTTCAACCTTATCGAGTAGCCACTGCTTCCATCCAGTTAAAGCTTCCTGCTGGGCGATGGATTCAGCAGCAGCCACAGCTACATCAAGCTGAGCACAAAGAGCCCCGTACACGTCGGAGTCGTGAGAGCTCTGTACTGCAGCACAAACTTCATTATACCACCGCTGATGATGAGCCAATCCTGCATGCAAAAAGACGGGTGGATTCAACACAACTCGACGAAGCTCCCCGGCCTGCCTGACCGCGTCGGGGCCAGGAGCGTCGAGCAACGAAACGTACATTCTGAACTTCAAACTTAGCCACTTGATTGCATAGCACAGGGGCTGTCGCACTGGGGGCTTTCTGTCCTGCTCCAAAACCAGCGCCCAGTACATCTGCGGTGCCTTGGACCGTGCTCCTAAACATGGCAGCTGGACGCCCCTCGAGTCGGCCAGCTCGCGCTCAGAAAGGTTAGCCCAAGACGAGTACACAGCATCCAACATATTCTGGACAGTCTGAGCGTGCCCAGAGCGCAGCGCATCCAAAAGCTGCTGCCCAAGAGCCCTGGCAGAGTCCCAGTTAGGAGGCTGAGGCTGAGGCCCAACAATAGGATCCACAGGAATTGGTGGGGGTCGGCGGAACCTCAGTCCGTATAGCTGCGCCAGCTGCGGATAGAACTCCAAAGACACAGGTGAGTGAGGTGATGTGCACGCATCAAGCTCAACCTGAACTTTCGCCAGACCTTTAGATAAACCCAGCGAGACCACGAAAAAGTCCAGAAGGCGGGTCCCTCCAGTAGAAAGACAGGATCCAGAAGCAGCCTCAGGAATCACCACACGTCCCCCACAAGACTTCGCAAACTCAGACTCCTGGAAAACCGACGGTTCCATATTAAAGTCAGCTCCCAGAATATAAGGCCCAGCCCAAACCTCCAAAGCAGCGGCCACGTGCGAGAGGAGCCCCAGGTTCAGGTCGCTGAGCCCCTGGGAGTGGTGGAGGTACGCACTGGCGACGTACAACGCGTCGCCGCCTGGAATATTGACGATTGCACCTACGACCCTATGAGGGACCAAAACGTGACCACCTGGCGGGGGCCGAAGGCCAAGGAAATCTCTGACCATGATGCCTACTCCAGCCGACGTCCCCCCCGACGGGGTGGAGAGGGCAGGAGTGAGAAGGATTTGCCACCCGTGGACCTTGGCCCAGGACGAAGCTCGGTCTGCCTCATCGCCGAGGCGTAGGTGGTGCTCCTGAAGCAGGATGATGTGCGACGTGCAATGCGGGAGCCATCGCTGCAGCGATGACCAGGCAGTGCAATTCAGCGTCTCTACTTTCAGGGAAAATTGAGCTCTCCCAGGGGGTGGGGGTGGGGTGCAAAACTTGTGGACGGGGACGGCACCAGCCCACCCCGTCTCACGGAAACTGCTAGCAGCCTGGGCCGAGGACTCCAAGGGCCTAGGCGGGAGCATCTGGCCAGGGCCCCCACACGGGCAACAGGACAGGGCCTCAAGATGCTGGTGAGACAAGGAATCAAAACTCGCCCTCCTGACCCTAGCTCTCGCTCGGGCGGCCAAAGCCAGCGACGAGGAGTTGGTCAGGCGGGCATTGGCGTAAGCCAGAATACTGTGTGAAAGACCGTGCCTGTGGGTGTGCCCACGCACACTCCACGGGTCGACGCCACCAGACTGATCTGAATTAAACTCGCTGTGCCCCCCCCTGCTACGCACTGGCTTTGTCAGCAGCGGCAGCAGGGGGGCCACGCACTGATGCAGCCTTGATCTGGGCCGCAGCGCGCTCACGAATGCTGGTAGACGCTGGAGTCGTAGAAGGTGTTGCTGAGGCTCCCACAGACCGAGCAGAAGGTGGTGCAGAGTCCACGAAGCCAACCGACTTGTCTCTGTCCTTCGCCTTGGGATCCTGGCTGGCGGTGGCCGAGTCCTGTGTAGCACCTGCCGCCGAGCCCGCAGCCACGCCTTCACCTGATACACCCTTCCGCTTCTTGGTGAGGCGGGCGACGTGGGCGGCCTGCTCGGCCTTGATGGCCTCCAGCTTCTCGAGTGCGCCTGAGAAGAGGCCCTTGGCCACGTCCTGCAACTGGGACCGCAGCAAGTCACGGCGGTCAGAGATGTTCTTGCGGTCATCGTCCGAGCACTCGTAGCCGTCCACGTCGAACACTGAGTCAACGTCGATGAGGTCAATGATGCTGCCAGTGCCGTCGACCACCTCCTTGATGGAGATACGAGGTGGAGCGGGAGAGGCTGCGCGATCAGGTCGGTCGCCAACCAAAGACGCGACAGCGGCCCTGTACTCGGCGTCGGCCAGGGACAGGCGCTCCGTGAGCTCGGCGACCGTGTCCAGCTGCTGAGCCACCCACTGCTGGTACTGCTCGAGCTTCTGGACTTCCTTTTCCAATACAGATTCGATCTCGGCAACCTTGGCGCCGATGGCGCTGATGCGCTGCTGTGGCGGGGGTTCGCCAGCCTTCTGAGTCTGCAGCTGCTGCTTGTAGCGCCCTGCCACGCGCTGATCCCCTGCCTTCTCGGCCAGTCGCACGAGGTCCTCGAGCTCGGAGACCGTGAGGCTGGGGTCGACAGCAGGGCCTGCATCTGCACCACCAGCAGGAGGAAGAGCGCGCGGAGGGGCGGACGGGCGCCGCCGCACCGAGCCTTCCAATGCTGCATCCGCGCCCTGGCTGGGCGCCTCGGTGCGCCACTCTCCACAGTGCTTGCAGTAGACCATGGAGTCGAGGTTGCGCGCGCAGTTACACCACGCACATCGCCACTTGAGCTCGCGCTCGGCACGGCGGGAGGGAGGGCGGCGCGCCTGCCACGGCGCAGCGGCCTGGCTGGGCGCCCAAGGGGCCGCGTCGGACGCGCCCTTGCCCTTCCCTCCACCGCCAGCGCCACGGCCAGCGGCGCGGCCCTTGCCTCTCCAAGGGGCTGGGGCCTGGCCGCCGTCGCCGAGCGCCGCCGCGCCCCAGGATCCAGCGCCGCCCTTGCCGCCACCAGCGAAAGCCATGGCAGAGGCGTGTCGGTGCCGAATCGAGGGACCGAGCCACTGGCTCGCTACCCCAACGCCGTCCCAAAGTTCGGAGTAGCAAGACCCGCCTGGGCCTGGGACGGCTAGGAGGGGGCAAGAGAAAGGGAGCGGGATGAGGAGGGAGAAGGGGGAGAAGGAGGAGGAGGAGGAGGAGAAGGAGGAGGAGGAGGAGGAAGAGGAGGAGGATGAGGAAGAGGACGAAAAGGAAGAGGAAGAAGAGGAAAAGGAGGAGGAGGAGAGGAAGAGGAGGAGGAGGAGGAGGAGGAGGCGGAGGAAGGGGCGAGAGCGGAGAAGGAGGGAAGAAGGAGGGGGACGGACCCCTTTCTCCCCGCCATCCCCCTCGAAAGGAGGAGACGTCCTTTAGCAGGTCCACGGCGAGGTCCGCCCTGACGCGGTGCATCGTCCTGTTGGGCTGGGCGGCGCGGACCAGCCTCCTCCTTCTCCTCCTCCACCTCCTCCTCCTCCTCCTCCTCCTCCTCCTCCTCCCTCCTCCTCCTCTCCTCCTCCTCCTCCTCCTCTCCTCCTCCTCCTCCTCCTCTCCTCTTCCTCCTCCTCCCCCTCCTCCTCCTCCCCTCCTCCTCTTGCCGTCCTCCTCCTCCGCCTCGGTCTCCCGCTCCTGCTCCTGTTCCTGCTCCTGCCCTGCTCCTGCTCCTGCCTCCGCTCCTGCTCCTGCTCCTCCTCCTCCTCCTCCCTCCTCCTCCTCCGCCTCCTCCTCCTCCTCCTCCCTCCTCCTCCTCTCCTCCTCTCCTCCTCCTCCTCCTCCTCCTGCTCCTCCTGCTGCTGCTCCTCCTCCTCTTCTCCTCTCCTCCTCCTCTTGCCGCTCCTCCTCCTCGGTCTCCGCCTCCTGCTCCTGCTCCTGCTCCTGCTCTGCCTCCTGCTCCTGCTCCTGCTCCTGCTCCTCCTCCTCCTCTCCTCCTCCTCCTCCGCCTCTCCTCCTCCTCCCTCTCTTCCCTCCTTCCTCCTCCTCATCCTCCTCTCTCCTCCTCCTCCTCCTCCTCCTCTCCTCTTCCTCATCCTCCCCGTTATCCTCACTCGATATTATCCCCTTGCTTTCCATGCCGATCCTCCCCCTTGTTTTCCCCCCATGCCGCTCCTCATCATTTTCACGTTAATCCCCCTGCCGCTCCTGCAGCACATCCTCACTAGATCCATTTTTCACCATCATTTCGCTCCTCCTTTCCTCCTCCTCCTCCTCCCTCCTCCTCCTCCTCCTCCTCCTCCTCTCCCCTCCTCCTCCCTCCTCCTCCTCTCGCCTCCTCCTCCTCCTCCTCCTCTCTCCTCCTCCTCCTCCTCCTCCTCCTCCTCCTCCCGCTCATCCTCCTCCTCCACCTCCTCCTTCTGCTCCTCCCGCTCCTCCTCGTCCTCCTCCCAGCGCACATCCCTCCAGACCGTGAGTCGTGGAGTCCACGCGCGCAGAGCCGAAAGCCAATTACCGTGCAACGAAGGAGGACGAGGAGGAGGAGGAGGAGGAGGAGGAGGAGGAGGAGGAGGAGGAGGAGGCTGGCCCGGCCCCCCGGCGCCGCCGCGGCTGCCGGCGCTGCCCAGCGGCCACCCCGCGCCGCGGACGCTGCGGCGCGGCCGCCGCGGGCGCGCATTGGGTCAGGTGGGGGGGTTTCAGACCTCCAACGTCACCTGGCCCGCGGCCCGCGGCGGCCCCTGCGCCGCTGCCAGAGCTGGACGCCGCGGCGCTGCCGGGCGGCGCCGCGGGGGCGGCAGCGAGCGGGCGCGGCTGGCGCGGCCGCCCGGAGGGCGGGGCGCCGCGCGCTCGCGAGCCACTACCGGTTCCTGCTGGTCCCCCTGGCGCTCCCGGGTGAGCGAAGTATAGGCTCCGGCCGGCGCACCCTCTCCTCCTCGGGGGCGGCTCGCCGCCGAGCGGTGGGCCGCAACTGGGTTGGGGGGGGTGCGCCGGCTCCCGACCACAGAGCGCCCGCCCGCGGGAGACCCGCGCGCGCCGCAGGAGGAGGAGGAGGAGGAGGAGGAGGAGGAGGAGAGGAGGAGGAAGGAGGAGGAGGAGGAGGAGGAGGAGGAGGAGGAGGAGGAGGAGGAGGAGGAGGAGGAGGGGAGGAGAGGAGGAGGAGGAGGGAGGAGGAGGAGGAGGAGGAGGAGGAGGAGGAGGCGAGAAGGGAGGAGGAGAGAGGAGGAGAGGAGGAGGAGGAGGAGAGAGGAGGAGGAGGAGAGGGAGAAGAAGGAGGAGGAGGAGGAGAGGAGGAGGAGGAGGAGGAGGAGGAGGAGGAGGCGGAGGAGGAGGAGAGGAGGAGGGAGGAGGAGGAGGAGCGAGCGGGAGGAGGAGGGAGAGAGGAGGAGAGGAGAGGAGGAGGGAGGAGGAGGAGGAGGAGAGGAGGAGCGGGAGGAGGAGCGGGAGGAGGAGCGGGAGGAGGAGGAGGAGGAGGAGGAGGAGGAGGAGGAGGAGGAGGAGAAGGAGGAGGAGGAGGAAGAGAAAAAGAAAGCAGGGCGGGGGCGGGGCCGGCCAGCGGGGCGGCGGCCGAGGCCGCCGAGTCGGAGCCGAAGGGCTCCGCACCGATGACCTTTGTGAAAAGGGTCAAAAGGCATATGACAGGGGGCCAGTTCCTCTGTGTCAACCTGTAGAATCCAAAACCTGGGTAGCAGGGCGCCAGTAGGGCGTGGAAAAGCCTGTCGAAGAACCCCAGATCGACCTGAAGAGAGCTTCCGAAAGACCTTCCAGAGAGCTTCTGGGCCCACGTACTGGGAAACGCTGAGAAAAGGCCTCTTGGACCATGCTGCAGGGTCAAGCAGGGCGCGCCGAGGCGTCCTGCTGGAAGCCGGGACGAGCTCCGGGGCTACCCTGCGGCTCCGGCTTCTTAATCTGAAACCCTCTTTTTGATCTCTACGAGCTATCCAGGAACAAGCACCAGCTCCCCCGGGGGGCCTGCCTTGGCCCAGGGCTCGTCAGCAGCAGAGATCGCCTCCCCGAGCAATGGACCGACAGGGGGGGGGGATGCTGCCTGGCTGCCGCCGTTTTGAAACACCCGTCGAGGCGCAAGCCCATCAGCACCTCGTGCTGTCCTGTACGATGGAAGCATTTCCCTAGCTGCAGGAGGACCTGGACACGGGAGCGGACCTCGGAACATCTGATAACTAAACGCGTCTTGGGTTCGCGAGCCTTGGCTCTGGCCGTGCACTGATCCCAATCGACGAGTTCGGCACTTCTGCACTGGGCCTTGCCACCTAGGGTACGAACACACAAAACCTCGGGGAAGAGCCGACACGATGGAGAGCGGGGGCGGGGCGGGGGACCAGGGTGCCACACGATAAAAGCCACTCCCGCGCCAGCACACACACACAACAGCAGAGGAGAGGGTGGCCCTCGTCAGGGCACTGCCGAGGCCAACCCGTCGCCGTTCCTTGGCCGTTCTCGCGGCCATCCCCCGAATGGTGCGTCGCACGCGTGCGCACCCGAGACCTCCTCGACCCCGGCGGGGGGAGGTGCCCGCGCGGCGCTCCGTGCCTTCGCGCGGCGGGCCCGCCATGACTCCCAGGGCCCTGTCCGACTGCGCAGCAGGAGGTGCGGGGGGACAACCTGTGCGGGTCTGACAGGTCGCCATGGGCAAGGCGGTTCACAACGTCGATAGACATCCTAAGCATTTCGGCACCCGATCTGACCTGCAGGGCTTCGGCATGACGTAGAGAATCTTCGTCACGGCGCTGGCCAGATGACAAATTGAAAAACGCAGCGGGTCGAGGCATCATCAAAGAGCCTGGGGACAGGGGAGCTATCTCCAACCTCCTCTTCCAAGGCAGGTGCGGGGAGGCCATCGACTCGTCGACGTCAGGGGCATCTAGAACGTCGGCAGCCCCCCAGAGGCCAGGCTCAGACACCGCACCAGGGGGGGCGCGAGCAAGTTCGCGTGGTGCCTCAGGCGTCTGAGTTCTCTAGCGACAACTGCATCCTCATCCTTCAGCCTTCTGCTCGAGGACGGACTGAATTGACATGGGTCTAAGGACGACTGCTGGGCTCCAGAGGCGCAGTCTGCGGCCATGACTGAAGTGCCCAAGAGTCTGGGGTGGGTGTGAAAATCCAAGAGAAAAACGAACCGAACCAGAACCAGGCCTAGACGCGACATCGTGCGCAGAGCGGGTTAGTACGATGGGCAGTCCAGGCGGCTTTGAAGTTAAACAAAGCCCCACAGTCAATGCACGCGTGCCTGACTGCGTGAGGGGGGAGGTGAAGCCGGTGCCGCAACCCACCTCGACCAGCAGAGGGCCGTGCTCGCCCGCCCAACCGAACTCGTCGCAGAGGCCGCCGACGAAGTTGACTACCTACCAGACCACCCCAACCCAACCCGAAGACCCGAATTTCGAGTTGGGGGGGGTACGGGTTCCAGACGTGTTTTCTCGATGTTCCCCGACCCCCCCCCACTGGAAATGGAGGTAGATTTGAGGCCTTCGGGTGGGGTTGGGGTGGTTTGGTAGGTGGTGAGAATAGTCCGCGGTGTCATGGGAGAGCTGCGCGGAGCTGCTCTCCGAGCAGTGCGCCGCGGACCGCGCGAGCCGCATGCTGAGGCTGGTTCGGTCCAGGGGCCCCGCGGGTGGCCCGGAGCGCGCGGCGGCGGCGCAGCGTGCGGGCGGGCACGGGCGCCTCCGGGCGGCCAAGGCGGGCGGCCTCAGGAGCGCCATGGCTTCCGCGGGGCCCCAGAGGAGCGCGGGGGGGCGGAGTCGCAGACGCGCCGGGTTTTGAGCAACTGAGGGCTCCACGCTTGAGCCAAAATGGCTACGGCCGACACGAAGCAGGAGGCGGAGGCGGAGGAGGAGGAGGTGGTGGAGGAGGAGGCTCAGGAGGAGGAGGAGGTGGTGGAGGAGGAGGCTTAGGAGGAGGAGGAGGAGGAGGAGGAGGAGGAGGAGGAGGAGGAGAAAGGCTAGGAGGAGGGAGGAGGAGGAGGAGGAGGAGGAGGAGAGGACAGTGAGGACAGTGCCGAGAGCGTGCAGGTGAATCACGAACACGCCTCGAAAAAAGAACGAGAGAGGGCCCTCATCCAACAAGGGGCGCTCTCCGCGCCGTGCGCGGGGCAGGGGAGCAACGGTGCGAGGGTCACTAACGGCGCAACGCCGGGCAGTCCCCACTCGCACCGCGCCCCCCGCCCGCACCCGCCCACTATTCAGGTGCCTCGGGCTCGGGCGCCTGCTGAGCATCGCAGGCACCCCGAGCTCCGAGAAAACAAGCGGCTCGAGGGGCTCGCCCGCCTTGGGATGCAGGCCCCTTCGAGCCAGCTCGAGCATCGACGCGATGGAGGCCAAGACAGCCCGCTGCACTTAAGGGGCCCTTAAGTGCAGCGGATCTGCTCCTTCCGTGCGCGGGGCTGGGGAGCAACGGTGCGAGGGTCACTAACGGCGCAACGCCGGGCAGTCCCCACTCGCACCGCGCCCCCCGCCAGCACTTCCGCCCACT